GAGGATATTAAATCGTGACTGTTTTTCTCGGTATGTGTTCATGGGAAAAACCTTTTGTCAGTGATTTCCTGGCAGTTTGTTAATGTATCTTGTTATTTCAATTTCCAGGTCTTTATATTTTAAACGTTTGTCGGATTACTTTCCTAAGGTTTTACCACACGCGACTATGTCTATGAAATAGTACTCATGTATTTTATTTTGTCTGGTGACTTTTATAGGGTGATCAGTATGAATGGTTAAATGTCTCCACTTTTCTTTCTCAACATTTTTTCTTCTTCAATACTGTAATGAAAGTGAACCATGGAAAATGATTTATTCTTCCATTTAAATTGACCCTCCCCGTTATGAGCAATAATATCTACGAGATATAACACCGTAGTTTACTGACAGAGCGGAATGTCTGAACAAAAAGTAATGACAAACATACTTTGTTTTCAGAGAAACTTTTACATTATTAAGTTATACAAAAAACTATATGTACATATATACACATGTCCCACACTGGGAATAATATAGCTACGCAGCAAAGAAGTGTCAAGAGAAAAAAAAAGGAATGGTCTTATATATAATATGGAGATACTCCAGTAACTGGAGAAGCCATGTTTAGGATTCAAACGGGCCGGATCCATCTATGTCCCAGGTCAGGACAACGGGAAACAGCGAGTCTTGTTTTTTGGGGTTTTTTTTTCCAAATTAAGGACTGTGAGCTCGAAATTTTATTCTATATCTGGGAAAGATATATTCCCAAAGAGAAACGGCAACTGCTGGGGAGGCAGTTTTACCCACTCCCCGGACTAAGGGCACCGGGCCGGCCTAAAGAATAACAACCTTACGGTTTAGCTGCTGAAAACAAAACTGAATTTGCCTGCCGCTATGATCACTGCATGGAGTAACGTCACTGGGCCGTCCATCATGTGCCCCATGTGACTTACCTCCAACAAACGGAGATATTTACTTTTTGCATCCCTACAATGCCATTACGATACACACGTAGGCGAAAGTGGCTATCTAGATGATTGATTGATTTTGTGTTGTGTTTTTTACAGCTTAACTTTTTGGGACATAATGACTTACCAACACAAATTCTAATTAACCCATAGCTAGGAAAGAGGAAGTGGATTAATACCTTTCGCAATGGTATTTGCGTGTACTGGAACTGGAACTCTCTTCTCCGATTTCCAATTCCGTGCCGTGTACTGGGACTGGAACTCTCTTCTCCGATTTTCAATTCCGTGCCGTTATCCATTACACCAGAAGCACATCCAAGCTTACAACATTCCCAAGCAGTCACCCATCTTGGTACTTACCAGGTTCAACATTGCTTAACTTCAGTTATTGTTTTAGAACCGGAGTTTCAATGTGATATGGCTGTATGTCTTGGCTCTCTACAGATTACTTTTCTTTATTAGGTCTGAATTGCCATGTTTTCTTCGGGAAGAGTGGAGCGGTTCTTGTCGCCTTTGTTTTTGACTGATTACCATTCAAGGACGTCGATTCCTGTTCGTACTTCTATTTATTGAGGGAAGAATAAACGAGAGCATGTCTGTCTTAAAGGAATTTAAGGGAAAGGGAACGCAACAATGAATTTCTCCAAATCAAGCTTCATCACTGAGCAGACGTGTGAATTGTTTTCCCTCATGATGAACGGTTAAGCTTTCACTGAGGCTTTGAACGTCTTGCTTGAAGAAATTTTATTTAGAAAAGACAAAAGCTAGCGAAAGAAGTGTCGTTAAATATTCAAAAAGAAAACAAAAAAGAATCAATCTACAGTACTCAGGAATTAGCAATTATGTTAAATTACGTACCTCTATAGAAACACGACTCCTAAGATTTAAAATGAATTTTTAAAAGATGAAGCATTTTTCTTGAAGCTTTCATTTTAGTTTTAATTCCAAGCTAATAGATTAAATTTAATATTTCCAATAAGAAAAATAATTTGCTGTATTTCAGAACTAATTTAAATTGATTGGAAGAAGTTTATTTTTGAAATTGACACTTTTATCGATCTGTCATCCAAATGTAATTCTCTTTATTAAAAAAAATCTTTAAAAAATAAAATACTTTACTGAAACTTTAATGTACTGATTTAAAGTTTAATGATATCAAACAAATATTACTTTAATTTCAAAATGTCTCAGAAACACGTTTTTTAAAACAGCGGTAGGTGTTTATTTAAGGTGTTGACATCTTGACTGACAGACGGAAGTTTACCTAATTTCGAACGTTCTAAAAAGGATTAAAAAATATTATTTAATTATCAAAAAATTCTTTGGCATTTCCTCTTAATAATAACAAAACTTTGGACGATAAAACTTTGTTTTTATTAAGTTTGGGACATTTTTTTTTCATCATGGTACACACTTGTGCAAATTAATTGAAACAACTGCTTTACTTTCCTTTCTTTCACCATACGGTCAGTTTTGGACCCACTGGAGTGACAGAGTGTAATCGATTTCTATTTTTCCTCAGATGAGGTCATTTACAGTAGTGTGCAGTAATATGAATCTATTTTCATGGTGTATGATGAAATTTGTTTGGCCTTAAAAATATTGCGTCATCCGTGATTGCATCAGATTTTCATCACGCCCAAACACTATTGTCTCGACTGTCGATTAGTTGGCCTACGGCCATTGTCTGCGATAGATGTTACTTAAAGGAACGGTACAAAAATTGTAACGCTGCACAAACAAACTGGCAAGCTTTATCAATGAGCAAATCAAAGTACCATAGACTGGCCCGGAATCTCTCCTGATTTAAATCCAATCTGTGGTCAATCAGCAAGGAACGATTTCGTAGAATGGACATACGAAGTACTAACATGTACACTGGGCCATGTTTCATTGGAAAGATACAAAAATATTAAATTATAACGGAATTATTCGTTTTGTTTCAATTAATTTGCACAAGGGTGTGTGCTCGATTGTAGCGAATCACTGGAGTTAACTATATTAAACACATCAAAATCTACCATATGCTGTCGCTTAGAAAACAAGCAAAGTCATCAGTCTGGGGTGGGTGTTGTGTTTCAAATTGAAAGAATTAATCGGATCGTTATAAAGAAAAACAGAAATTATTTATGACTCTAGTTAATTAATGTCGCTCACGCTAAATAAGAATAAACGACAATATTAAGAAAGAATATGTAGTCAATTAGATCGAAAATCATTATTCATTAAACTCCTTTGACACGATTCTATCCGCGAATCTTACGATTTTCGTTAATGTTGGCCGCCATGTCCACAACAGCGGCCTTTTAACGAGCCCATTGTATTGTGCTACCGATAGTTGCTTTCTCTCTCAACGGCGCTCTATATGTTGTAGTCACAATCAGAATTAGGAGGCTGCATATTGGGTTGGGGTGACATGATCGTTAGAATTACCGGGCATCTAATTCTTGGGTCACGTGAGACATGGAAACCGGAAGGATCCTATTGGAGCACGTACAGCCACACCATATATCCAGAACATATAACCTGTGCCTAACATATCGATGTAACGGATGACATTGATCCAGAGGCCACTGCGGGAAGGCGTGGGTAGAGTTTCACAAAATGGCGGTCTTTGCTCACGATAACAAGGACGATCACAAACGTCATGAACTTTGTGTATATCACTGTGGATACCTCAGTATGGTTTACATCTACTCTTCCTATTCCCCCTACCAGTATCTATTTACAGCAGTTGGCTATCTCTGAATTGTCGTCCTTTTCTTTATTTCCTGTGTCAGAATGGCATATTAATGCATTCAGTAATTATGAAACGGAAACGAGAATAATAAAAATGTTAGCGTACACCACTCAACATTATGATAGGTTGACTATTCATCACCTGCAGAATTTGTATTTTCAAATACATGTCAAATATATATATATATATATATATATATATATATATATATATATATAATATTAGGGGTCAAAAAAATATATATATATATACATAGATAATATTAGTGGTCATATATATATATATATATATATAATATTAGTGGACAAAATATATATATATATATATATATATATATATAAATATATATATATATATATATATATATATATATATATATATATATATAAATTTACAAGAGGATCGAATCCAGGTAGAACTCAATGTCCAAGACAGAGTAAGAATATAATATAAAAGGCTCAAACGCTAATATTCCATGGTTATAATTTATTATATTGGAATCGAAATCACGATCCAATTCATCAGACCTACTAATTCAAAATTAAATCCTATATATATATATATAAGGTATTTTTCCAAGCGTAGCTTAGATGCTTCACAAGGCCGAATGAAGGAGGCTCCCAGTGAGGATCGTACCCACTACTTGGTCGTAATTGTTTTAGGGTGACAATCTTGCTAAGCAATACACCGCCTCGATATATATATATATATATATATATATATATATATATATATATATATATATATTCTATTTTGATTCTGTTTATGCAACAAAAATCATTTTCCATAGAAAGAAAGAAAGCTAAGGATGTGTTATGTATTCTTAAAAACAAAGAAATATGAATAGAAAATATTTTGCGAATAGAATTTTATAAATATAGAAGCAAATATAAAGATGATTTCGATTGTTTTGTTTTACGGTATATCAACCTCAATAGGTTATTTATTGCCAACTGTTATTTTTTATTTTTTCAAAAACGTATGGCTGGTAATAATGTATTGCTGGTAACAAATTTTTCCTTCGAAAATATATTGTTGGTATTTTTCCCAAAATGTATTTCTGATATTATATATTTTTATACTTTCATAGTGTTTTGACCCCTTTTGAGGTTAACTATTTGCTCATATCAGGGAACCTAACAGTTGCTACCACCTGTGTCATGGTGGACCTGCGAACACCAGCAATTAAAAGGTGGTTTCACGTTCTTCAAAGCCACCTGATCAGAGGCCTTGCTGTCGGATGTAGTTTATCATCTTACCCAGGATAATATAAAGATGGAAATATCTTCTTTTATTAATAATATTCTTCAAACTTAGAAAGAAAATAAAATTGCTTGCTTGGAGAATATTATTAAGAAAGAAAGAAAGAAAGAAAGAAAGAAAGAAAGAAAGAAAGAAATAGAGAATGTTCGCATTAAGAAGAAAAGAAAAAGAAAGGAATAGAGAATGCTCGTCTTAAGAAGAAAAGAAAAAGAAAGGAATTGAGAATGCTCACATAGAGAAAGAAGGAAAGAAATTGAGAATGCACGCATGAAGAAAGAAAAAAGGAAAGGAAAAAAGAAAGAAAAAAGAAAAAAGAAAGAAAAAAGAAAGAAAAAAGAAAGAAAAAAAGAAAGAAATGGCGAATGTTTGCTTGATGTAATAAATGTGATTGAGAAATGCCGAGGCTAAGAAAGAAGTCTTTTTAGAATTTTAAAACGAAATCATGTGAAATATTGGCAGTAAACTGAGGAACGGTATTCGAAGACATTCTGAAAGCAATAATACAAAAATCGTGAATAAGGCAACAAGTGAAAAGAACAGTAGAACCAGGAATGGTGTTGATGTTTATTTATTTTTAATAGCAGAGTAGTCATACTTTTTATGCAGTGTTTTATATATATATATATATATATATATATATATATATATATATATATATATATATATATATATATATTGTCTTTCTTTGCTTTTATCTTTGTTTTTATTTTTTAGCATTTCATTTTTTTTATATGTCCTTTTGCTTATTTTTCTTTAATATTGTGATGTATTTGAGATCACTGAGCAATGAAGTGGACGCTTTCAATCTTGAAATCGATGGTGATGTCCTTTTCGAAAACATTCCCGAGCACCTGTGAGATAAAAAGAAAATTAAAAATGGAAGAAAAAAGTATAGATTAATTGCACAGTCATTAGTCAATAATAACAACAATGAATAATAATAGTAATAATAATGATAATAATTCAAAAAGCTATAGATTTACAAAATGGGACACTATCCCTGTTATAGTTGAAGCCCTCGGATTGGTTGGAAAAGATTCCGGTAGGCTAGTTGACGGGATTCCTGGAAGCCCATGCTTTAAAGAAATACAAAAAATTGTTCGCACGAGTACAGCCTACACCTTACGAAGGGCTTTATCAAGTAATTTCTCTCTCTCTCTCTCTCTCTCTCTCTCTCTCTCTCTCTCTCTGTGTGTGTGTGTGTGTGTGTGTGTGTGTGTGTGTGTGTGTGTGTGTGTAAAATGTCATGACATGATGCCATTTCTAACCTTAGGTCTCTGGGCGGGACCCGGAACGAAATGTGTACACACCAGATTTCAAAGGAAATGAAATAATAATAATAATAATAATAATAATAATGATAATGATGATGATGATAATAGAGATAATGATGATGATGATGATAATAATAATAATAATAATGAATATTGATGATAATAATTAGTTTAATCAACCAAGCACTTGAAATAAAAAGCTCTTTTCTGAACTCTGTGAGAAGAAACGCATTTATCCGAGACCGCAACATTGTTCTATTAAAACTGCCATAGTAATTCATGACTGGCTTTCGTATCATACCTACTGTTATTTTCGTATTAAGAAAACTTATTGACAGAGCTGTAACCATGACAAAATATTTACAACGTCTCGTATTCCGTTTGATTTCATATTAAGACAGAAGAGAGAATAATAAACGCTGACGTTCGACTGAATTTTTATACTAAATTTCCTTCAATACAAGGCTCGAAAGTCATTCAATGTAGAGGCTTTTTTAAAATGGCTATGATAAATGAGGTTCTATATGAGTGAAAGAGGTGGCTATCGGAAATGAAGATTATGAGAATGAAAAAAAATAATATTTAATAATTGTCTTAAGATTATAACTGTTGTGGACGACGAGGGAAAATTTTTTGTTGTTTTTTCTTCCTGTGTGAGTTCGAATCACTTGTCGCCAATTTGCTGTGGACGACGAAGGAAAATTTTTTGTTGTTTTTTCTTCCCATGTGAGTTCGAATCTTTGTCGCCAATTTGTTTTGGACGATGAGGGAAATTTTTTTGTTGTCTTTTCTTCCTGTGTGACTTCGAATCACTCGTCGCCAGTTTGTTGTGGATTCCGGGATGAAATCCGGTCTCAAATTAATGACAAACGCAGGAATGAAATATACCATATAAATGTATTGACGTAATAATACAATTGGTAATACGGTTAGTAGATCCAGAAATGCGGTTAGTAGCAATAATAATATATATATACAGTCTGGGAAATTCAGTATTGAAGTAGGACTTCCTTCTGAGTCTACGTGCTCGCAACTGTAACTCCTACAAAGCGGTTACCTAACACTCTCACACTCTCACTCCCCCACTGTATCACTCACTGGGTATTCACTCGCAGCAATACAAGTACACACTGGGCGAGTCTACTTGTATGAAAAAGAGGTGGACCCCTTGACAATAACGTTCTAGGGAGCATCCACGCCGGAATCTGTTTACAAAGTACGTTGTTAGGTACGAGCAAGAAATAGTTATTTTATAAAGAAAAGACTGACGAGCAAGGAACGCCTGCGTCCTGAAACCACATCGCACATAAAGGGAGAAAACAAATATTGTTTGTAAATAAACAAAAACCGATCAAATTAATCTTATTGTTCAATAACAATGAAACTCAAAATATCATTTAAGTGTAAAGTTATCGAGATATTTTAAGAGAAAAATGTCTGCTTCTAAGAATAAATGATGTCGAGGTTAATATGACCCCCTTTTTTTTGTGGCCGTCATCAAATCACCATAACATCCGTCCTTTCAATCAAAATCTTTATAAGACGCCAGTCTCGAATTCAGCCATTGATCAACGGAGAGATATTGAGTTTTAAGCCAATCACTGTTTGAACTAAGGGAAAGCATTCTTGTTTGAGTAAGGGCAGAATTACAAATCATCACCAGAATTAGCAAAGTTAGAGATAATGGTGAAGATGTGGACGGCTTTTATTCTTAGTGGTGGTTGATTTTTGATAATGACCATAAGAGACGTCAGAGCGCCTTCACTCTCCAATAAAACGGAAAAAAAGAAACCTTCAAGAGATAAGCCTATTTAACATTTCTTTATTAATATATATATATATATATATATATATATATATATGTAAGCAAATATATGGATATAAATCCGACAGTATGAAGAAAAATATATATGGAAAAAACAAACAAAAATCCTTATATACAATTATGCTGTTTTAATGTATAATACAACATGACAAAGACGTCTTCGTCTGTGTCATGTTGTATTGATAATGTTATAATTTATGAATATGTCCTGAAGATGGTTTATTAGACTGAAACGTCCGACGTTGACATATTAACATTAAAACAGCATAATTGTATATAAGGATTTTTGTTTGTTTTTTCCGTATATATTTTTTTCATATATATATATATATATATATATATATATAAAGAAGAAAATTAATAAAAGTGGAAAAGATGTTCTCATGTGACGCGTTTCGTTTTTTAGGACTTCAAACTTGAGTGTTTGATGCAAGTATACATGCGCACGGATGCTCCAGCTGTTGTCGCCAAAACCCGAAGAACGATATGTAATGAAATTGATCTTGACTTCGCATCTCGACTCCTGTCACTTTTCTCACAGACGTGATGTGGCTTCCCTCTGTCTTTTCTACAAATATTTCCATGGCTACTGTTCTCTCGAGCGTTTTTTCCCTGGTGCCCCGACTATATAAATTTAAGCGTGCTACTAGACTGTCATCAAGGTTCTACCTTTTTATCGTTGAAATAGTTAAATGTAACCGCCCTCTTTTTCTACTCCAACAGTTTTTCTCGCACTCTCGCTTGTGGAATTCCCTTCCGTTTACTTGCTTCCCTGATAACTATAATCTTCAAAAATTGAAATGAAATGTCAATCGCTACCTTCTGATTTTTTGAACCTCGTCCATCTTTTATCCTTTTCTTTATTCTCCTTATACACAGTTTTTTTTTCTCACACAATCACTTCATGTAATCCCTTGCGAACTAGTCGCGCTCCCGCCTTTCTTGGGGTGAAATAAAATTTGTTTTGGCAAATAGCCTACAGAATTTTTGTGTCTTTTTACCTTTTTTATTATTAAGTATCCCATAGTTTCATAACAGGAGATCTGCCAAGACAAGTGAAATGTAAGAACCTGGACGCATATTGACTGGTGGGTAATCTGCTTCTCCTTTAGTTATGTTCGATTTTTAAAAAAAAATCCTATTTTATGTTCAGACACATTACAGTGAGCAAGTAATGCATTGAGTATATCGCTTTGTAAACGATCCCTTTTGTGTCCATGTAATCTTTTATTTAATTTACTCAAGGTTTCTCCTATGTATTTTGTGCGGCATGCAATATATACAGACACACACACATCCTGTTTCACTCTTATATATTTTTCCTAAATGAGCGCTTGTGTATTGTAGGGATGTGATAACTATGAGTGATTATAATTATAAACGCCCTAACATTTATATATAAAGAAATATTCTTAACAATGAGAAACAGTGTAAAAGTTGACACAGCAAAGCGAGTATTATTTATAATCTGTTTGTTATTTGATGTTGGAGAAATGAGAGACTAATACTGAGTAAAACTGTGAGTTTGGGGATCAAATGTAGATGAAATATGATTCAGAATTCGACAGAATAAGATAAAGATTAAGTAAAGTGTATATATAGTCTTTCAAATATGTTTTTGTACAGAGATGAGCGATGAGTGTCCAGATAGTTTAGCTGGAAAAATACAAGAAATGTCTGGGATTATTTTAACTTGAATTTTTGTTGAGTACTAAGAGATAAGTGTTACAATTATGACCTGAAAAATGAAAAGGAGCCTAAATTTTCGTTGACGTACGTGTTGACGGACTGTGTGCTTACGGCAGGTTCTATAGTGAGAATGTCATCTGTTTGTGCGTGCAGAGGAGAAAAGTACTGTTGATTCTCATTGGTTTAGAAAGAGTGAATTGATGATGACTATAATTGTTATAATTATTTGATTATTTTTTTTTTTTTTGACACTATAATTAATTTTTATTTTTTATGGACACTTCAAAGTGATAGTATAATTAATGTTTTTATTTATGTATTTTTATGGACTCGACACTGATTCCAAATTATTTTATTTGGTTATCTCATTATAATTATATATTGTTTATAAATATTATGCATAAAATTTGCATATTTACATTATTCTCGATTTTTTCTAGTATGTTTTTGAGAAGCATAAAAGTTGTGTCGGAAATTGAAGTAGCAGTTCTTTTATTGAATGTCTAACTCCAGAACAAATTGCGTTGAGGTAAATCTATTATTGCATGCATAATATCTGCTGCTAAGGCTACTCTTCGAATACAACGGTCACAGGTTGAGTTGGAATAGTAGCTTC